CAACGAAATTTCGATTTTTATTTATTATAATTTATTTCATAATTAGTTATTTCACAAGTAGCCAGGGAATGAAACGCTGATCAGGGCCAAATGTGGATTTCCTAATCAGGGCCACATCAGGCGCGGCTATTCCCTAATAGGGCAGCCTCATCTGGCCCCGATTTGGGACCTGGCAAAATTTCTGCACGATAAATAATAATAATAAACAATGGCGGTTAATAATTAATAAATGAAATAAAAAAATTATATTTAAATTACGAGGTTAATTAATTGTGGAATAATGCCTAAAAGATAAATTTTAGAGATGAAAAAGTGGAGATGAAAAAAAAAAAGTAAATGAATGATACAAAAGTGCAATTAAGACGAATGAGTTCTCTACGTTATCTAGAGTTTAAATTCATTTGGAATGCTAATGCCTAATTACACATAGAATCTCTCTCTCTTTCTCTTTCTCTCTCTTCTCTCTCGCTCTGATGTAATACATAAAGTTTTTGCTGTGGCTCACATGTGGGAGCTTAAAACGGCCCTTAAATTACCCCCTATTAGGAAGGGTTGAATACAGCTAGGCGACGCGAGGATTTTGCACTGGGCGCCATTTACCCAGGATTTATTTCATGTGAAATATTCTCTTTAACCATTAAATTACCTTGTTGAAAATACCCCAACCACTTCTTTTTTTTTCAATACCTACACTTCCTCCTCCTCCTCCTTCTCACAATTAGTCTCTTTTGTATCATTAATTTATTCAGAAATATCTACCTTATCATTTTTAGAATTTAAATATTAATCCCTTGGTGTTATAATTCCAATTTATATATAATTACAGAGATTTATTATATAAAGAAATAATTAATAAAATGATATATATTATCTTTTTGTATATAGTAGATTTTTTTGTTTTATTTATTATTCGCTATTATTTCTATAATATTTTTATTTAGTTTTTACTATACCTATATTTCATTTTTCACAGGAAAAACAAAGTGTTATTTTAACACCAGAATTGGTGTTAAAATAACACGCAACAAATTTTACCCTAAATCTGGGTTAAATCTTATGGGTTTTAGCATTGGAGAAAATTACCCGCAACAAAAATAACACCAGCTTTTTTCTGTGTTTTTAATTATTTATTTAATTTTTATTATTTATTTTATTTTTTTTACTATTCATTTTATTTCTTATTATTTATATTGTTGTTTCAATTTATTTTTTACTTATTATTTTTTTGTATTTTTATAGCGTTTAATTTGCATTGTAATAATAAATTAAGATATGCCTGACTATAGTATTGACCCATACTACTTTTTTTTAAACAATTAAATTTTCATCATTTATATTTTACTCCACAAAAATCTAATATTGTTTGTCTGACTAATAAATATCCTTACTACTTAAATTTTTACCACTTGAAATTTTTGTAAAAATTAAACTTGCAACTATGACACTGACTTTTATTATTTTGTTTTAAAAAAAAATTGCAATTTTTTCCATAATAATTAAATTTTCCATGTCTGCCTAAAAACGACAACTACTACTAATTTTTCCCCCAATTTCTACTAAAATCACAAAAAAAATTTGTCTGACCAATAATTACCATTACTACTTAATTGAATATTACACTCAAAATTTTATATGTCTAACTGAAAATAAATTTTTTTTTTAAATTTCTATCACAAAAAATTCTTTTTTGTCTAACTAATAGTGACCATTACTACTTAATTGAATATTGTCTGATAAGTTTTATCACTATTTGCATTTATACACGAAATAATAATGAATTTGATTATTTCGTTGAAAACTAATTTTTTTCACTTATAAAAATTTTGCTAAAACAACGACAAATATTTTCTACAATAGCGAACATAGTTTGTTATGGAAACGAAAAAAAAAATTACTGTATACGTATGTTTGTCTGACTAATAAAATACGTAACAACTTGTTTTAATATTATCCCAGTTAAAAAAAAAAAATTTCTTAAAAAAAAAGTTGTTAAAGAAAAACTATTAGACTTACCAGCTGTAGACGGACGGACGGACAGACAGAGACAAAAATTAGGAATTCATTTCTTCGCCACGAAATCTAAAATGAAAAAAGCAAAATTTAAATAAAAATATAATTGAAAAAAAATAATAATAACTGCAATAATAGAAATTAAAATAGAAATATAATAAAAATAAAAATTACAATAGAAATTTGAATAGAGGAGGAGAAATTATATATATATATATATTTTTTGAGAAATCTGAAGATTCGCAAGTTTCATTTGGTTAACTGTTATGTCGCGAATAAGGTCGTTATCGGTCTTATCTTCTTAATTTCTCGAAAGTGGTTACTGTATGGAGGAATGGGGGAGATGGAGAAAAGAGAGAACGGTCGATTTGCAGAATTTAAACAGTCCCTTGGGATAAGGCGGTTGGCCCCGGATTACGAAGCAACCCCATGTCGAAATCCCACTACCCCCCCCACCCACCCCCCTTTTTTCCCCCCATCACGACCACTACTCCTCAGCAAAACGGTTACCTTCTTCCTGCAGGGTTTAAAACAAAACAGCACAGGAGTATATTAATGCCTGGCTTAATGTGCCTCGGCTAATTAATGGACCGTCTCTCCGGATGCTGCACTCACATTTCTAAAAGTACGAGATAACGGAACTGCCACACGCATTAAAGACAAAAGCAATTTAAATTAAAACCACATTTTCACTACATATATAAATATATAGGAAATCACTTCTTTATTCATATATGTACAAGTACCTTAAAGTGAAAATAATATTTTTTTTTTAATTGAATCAAAAAAAAAAATTTATTTCATTTAAAGAAAAATATATTTTTCATCAGGATAAATAACTTGTTTTATTAATACAGATAAACAATTTTTTTTGTCGCAAATAGAAATAATATGATTGACTGTTAAAATTATATTTCTATTATTTTAAGTGGTATAAGTTAGTTTAAGTTAAACAATATCAATTTCAGTCATAAAACATGTAGAATTTAACTATTATTTTAACCTCAGTGATTGTTTGTCAATTTTAGTCAGACAGAAAGTTAAATTTTTTTATTTCTATTACTTTCAGTAGTATAAGTCAGTTAGAGTCAGACAAACGGTTTAAATTTATTTATTTATATAATTTTCAGTAGTATAAGTCAGTTTGAGTCAGACAAATTGTCTTTATTCTCTAAATTATTTTTACTATTAATAGTATAAAAAATTTTAGTCAGACATAGAAAGTCTAAATTCTTTCTAATTTTCTTAAATTCAGTAGAAAAAAAAATTGTAGTCATACAGAAAGTTTAAATTTTTTATTTCTACAATTTTTCAGTAGTACAAGTCAGTTTGAGTCAAGCAAATTATCTTAAATCTCAAAAACTCCTTTAATATCAGTAGTAAAAATAAATTTTTGTCAGGCAGAATACTTTATTTCTTTCTATGTTTATTAGTTTTAGTAGAAGAAAAAATGTTAAGTCAGACAGAATATTTAAATGTTTTCATTTTTATTATTTTCAGTAGTATAAGTCACTTTAAGTCAGACAAAACTAATTTCAGTCATAAAAAATTTTCTACTTATTCTATTATTTTAATATCAGTGATTGCGGTTAATTTTAGTCAGACAGAAAATTAAAATTTTTCTAATTTTCTTAAATTCAGGCGTACAAGTTAGTTTAAGTTTGACAAATTATTAATTTTCTAAAGTTGTTTTTCATCAGTAGTAATAGTAATTTTTAGTCAGACAGATCGTTAAAATTTTTTCATTTTCACTATTTCAGTAATATAAGTCAGTTTAAGTCAGACAAATAGTCTTAAGATTCTATTTTCTTTTTTTTCAATTTTATTATTTTCAGTGGCACAGTCAGTTTAAGTCAGACGAACAGTCCTAATTTTCTATTTTTTAATTTTTTATATTTTTAGTAGTATAAATCAATGTAAGTCAGACAAAATTAATTTCAGTCATAAAATAAGTTTAAATTGTTATATTCTTTAATTTTCAGTGATAGTTATACATTTTAGCCAGACTGAAATTTAATTTTTTAATTTTTATTATTTTCAGTAGTATAAGTCAGTGTTAGTCAGACAAAATTAATTTTAGTCATAAAATAAGTTTTAATTTTTCTATTCTTTTAATTTTATCTGGTAGCTGTTAATTTAAGTCAAAAAAAATTAGTTCCACTCATAAAACATGTTTAAATTTTCTATTCTTTTAAATATCAGTGATAGTTGTAAATTTTAGTCATACAGAAAGTTTTAATTTTTTTATTTTCAGTAGTATAAGTTAGTTTACGTCAGACAAAATTAATTTTAGTCATAAAAAAGGTTCTACTTGTACTATTATTTTAATATCAGTGGTTGAGGTCAATTTTAGTCAGACAGAAAGTACTAATTTTTTAGTTTTTTTCATTTTCAGTAGTATAAGTCACTTTAAGTCAGACAAAATTAATTTCAGTCATAAAACATGTTTAAATTTTCTATTCTTTCAATTTTCAGTGATAGTTATACATTTTAGTCAGACAAAATTGTCTATAACGCCAATTTATACTATTTAGTATATCTTAAATAATTTAAATTTAATTTATTTATTTAAAGTTACTAAATAAATAGTACTAAATATTGAATATTAGTTAATAAATAATAAATTACAAATCTTCAAATAAAAATAAAAAATTAAATATGCCATTCCAATTTACTATTCAATATTCAATTGACATATTGATTTTACAATGGCGACATTTTTTTTTTATTAATAACTAATAAAATTAGTTTCTACAAATGGATGCAAAAAAAGGAGAACAAAAAAAATATATTTTCCGAGGGAGGTGTTCTCTTGTGTTCTGAAGGAATTTTCAGCTTTTCTATTAGACACAATCCTAGAGATGGGTGGTACTTTAGAGGGTGTGGATGCAACAAGGGCGGAGTCTCAGCCTTGCGCCGTTGCAACGAAAAGCATCGAACGTTCTCCAAATACAATTTTCATCTCTTAGAGTAAAAAAATTTCTCGATAAAAAAGCACAGGCTTACTTTTTTGCTCCCGTTAAAGTTTTCAAATATAGATATAAATGGATCGTTTTGAAGAGAATAATTTACAACTCTGTCATATCAGTTCTTTTTATCCTTCTTCTATTCTCTGTCTCTCTTTTACTAACTTGCTCGATATCCTCTCTGAAGAGATACCCTCTTTGACGTGAGGTCATCAAGGGGAAGGTTGAGAGAGAGAGAGAGAGAGAGAGAGAGAGGGTGGAGAGTCTCGACAAAGTGTTAACTACTCGGAAAGAATACGAACGAGAGGGTGACGTGGGTCGATGTTAAAAGCGATACACACTTAAAAGCAACCATTCAGAGTCAATTCAACTTGTATGAAACTTATTGTCACGAGTGAGTGAAATATTATGTTCATATTTATATGATTTCCAAATTATTTATCTATTTTACGCGATAGGATAACGTATTCTTTCTTATGTCTTGTTAAATGTAATATAATGTAATCATTTTTTTTCCTCATACAAATTTTATTATTATTAGTATTGTTATTTTATAATATTGATATTTATAATTTATAAAATTATTTTATTATTATTATTATATAACAAATTATTTATTACTGTCTGAAGTATTATTTTTATTTTGTTTATAATTTTTTTGAAATTGTTTGATCACATTAAAAAATAGTAATCATTGTTGACTGATAAATCTCTTCACAGAAAATTAAAAGGCATTAAAATAAGCTACAACGCTTATTATTTTAATCCAATTTTGCTTATTTTAATCCATTTTGGTATTAAAATAAGCAAAATTGGATTAAAATAATAAGCGTTGCAGCTTATTTAAATACCTTATAATTTTCTGTGTTTTTATTTGTAAATTTATTAAATACTTTCAGTAGTCGAAGACGGTAATAGTCAGACAGAAAGATTATTTTTAATATTTTTAGTAGTAAAAGTAATTTTAGTCAGATAAATTATTAAAAATTTTCTATTTTTATTACTTTTAGTGATAACATCCATTTTTAGTCAGACAGAAGCTGTAACTTCTTTTCAAATTCTTAGTTTCAGTAGAAAAAATAATTTTTGTCAGACAAATCGTTTAAATTTTTCTAATTTTATTAATTTCAGTAGTATAAGTCAATTAAAATTAGAAAATTTCAATTTTTTTATATTATTTATTTTATTATTTTTTAAATAAAATTTTCAGTAGTAAAAATAATTTTAGTTTAGACAAGTTAAAATTTTTCTAATTTTATTTGTTTCATGTGAATTAAAATACAAAATTATTTCAATTAAATAAAACTGTGTATATTTGTCTCAATATTTAAAAAAAAACTGTTGATTTATTTTAAAATTAAATGTCGCAAATATAACATTTTTTTTCTTTCTTTGATAAAAATAAAATTTATTTGAAGTGCATTTAATATTTATTTTACGTTGAGATAAATATTTTCTTTCACAGCTGAATAAATATTTATTTACGTCGAAATAAATTATTTATTTGATTAGAGAATATAAACAAAAAAAATTAGTCAAAATATTTTATTAAAATCATTTTCAATGAGAGTAAACGGAAAAAATTTTTTCATTTCATTCAAATAATTGATTTCTTAACGCTATTATTAAATTAATATTTAACAGAATAAAATTATTTTTATTTTTGAGTCAATTAATATTCATTTATTTTAAACACCATTACTTATTAGTTTAAATATACAATTTATTTAATTCAAATAAAAATTTGTCTAATACAGATAAATATTTACCTCTAGCAAAAAATATTTTTTTTTTTTGAAAGAAATAAAGATTTATTTAATACAAATAAATATTTAATTGAAAAAAAAATTTTGATTTTTGTCAGAAAATGAATGGGCTTTAATTATAATTAAATTGTTTATACAATGAAGAGGAAAAAGGGGGGAGGGGGTGGAGGAATTATTAACGCAATATGCAAGTGAGATATATAGTTGTTTGTCAATAAGCTAGTGAAGTGGTCGAGTAATTTGTGATACAAGAGGGCAGGAGACGCATGACACTCGAATGGCTTTTGAGAGGAGGGGTAACTAAGGGTTACTGGTTCGAGGATAGCGGTTAGCGGTTGATGAGCGCGCGGCAGGTAATCGAATTATCGTCGCTTTGAGGATCAGAGTCCATGAATGATCCGATCAGGTACCTGATGGATGGATGAGCTACTTCCGTATAGAGCGAACCACGCTCGTTATATGGACTCTCATCTACGGTCTACTGAACTATTCTGATCCTTATCTACCTCATCTATCGACTGGAAATAAATTTATTTCTCAACAAAAATTCATTCTGTCAATACGCAAAAATTTATTTACACAACAAACAAATTTCATAAAATAATTGACAAAAAATAATAATTAAAACATAATTTTTCAATTTCCTTAATTTTTTTTTATTTTCTATTTTTTGATTTTTAATATTTTCAGTAGTATTAGTCAATTTCAGTGAGACAAATTGTATTAAATTTCTAGTGTTTTTCTATTAGTAGAAAAAAATTTCAGTCAGACAGAACATTTCTATTCAAACAGTCAAGTTAAAATTTTTTAATTTTTATTATTTTCTGTCAAAAAATATCAATTTCAGTCATAAAACATGTATAATTTTACTATTATTTTAACCTCAGTGATTGTTTGTCAATTTTAGTCAGACAGAAAGTTAAATTTTTTTATTTCTATTACTTTCAGTAGTATAAGTCAGTTAGAGTCAGACAAACGGTTTAAATTTATTTATTTTTATCATTTTCAGTAGTATAAGTCAGTTTGAGTCAGACAAATTGTCTTTATTCTCTAAATTTTTTTTACAATTAATAGTAAAAAAAATTTTGGTCAGACATAAAAAGTTTAAATTCTTTCTAATTTTCTTAAATTCAGTAGAAAAAAATTGTAGTCATATAGAAAGTTGAAATTTTTTATTTCTATAATTTTTCAGTAGTACAAGTCAGTTTGAGTCAGGCAAATTATCTTAAATATCACAAATTTCTTTAATATCAGTAGTAAAAATAAATTTTTGTCAGGCAGAATACTTCATTTCTTTCTAAGTTTATTAGTTTTAGTAGAAGAAAAAATGTTTAGTGAGACACAATATTTAAATATTTTCATTTTTATTATTTTCAGTAGTATAAGTCACTTTAAGTCAGACAAAATTAATTTTAGTCATAAAAAATTTTCTACTTGTACTATTATTTTAATATCAGTGATTACGGTTAATTTTAGTCAGACAGAAAGTTAAAATTTTTCTAATTTTCTTAAATTCAGACGTACAAGTCAGTTTAAGTTAGACAAATTATTAATTTTCTAAAGTTGTTTTCCATCAGTAGTAATAGTAAATTTTAGTCAGACAGAAAATTTAATTTTTCTAATTTTATTAATTTCAGTAGTACAAGTCATTTTACGTGAGACAAATTGTTAATTTTCTAAACTTCTTTCCACTAGTGATAATAATAAATTTTAGTCAGGCAGAAAATTTAATTTTTAAATTATTATTATTTTCAGTAGTATAGGTCAGTTAATGTCAGACAAAATTCAATTTTAGTCATAAAAATACTTAAATTGTACAATTATTTTAATACCAGTGGTAAATGTAATTTTTAGTCAGACAGATCGTTAAAAATTTTTTCATTTTCACTATTTCAGTAATATAAGTCAGTTTAAGTCAGACAAATTGTCTTAAGATTCTATTTTCTTTTTTTCAATTTTATTTTTTTCAGTAGCAAAGTCAGTTTAAGTCAAACGAACAGCCCTAATTTTCTATTTTTTAATTTCTAATATTTTTAGTAGTATAAGTCAATGTAAGTCAGACAAAATTAATTTCTGTCATAAAATAAGTTTAAATTGTTCTATTCTATTAATTTTCAGTGGCTGCTGTCAATTTTAGTCAGACAGAAAGTTTTAATTTTTTTATTTTCAGTAGTATAAGTCAGTTTAAGTCAGACAATTAAAATTTGTACGCCCTATTGCAAAAAAAAGAGATTAAAATTTTTATGGCAATGCTTTAAAAATTTTAATAAAATTCTACTCTTTGCAAGAAATTAAAATAAAATTTCAATTCCATAAATTAAAAATTATTATATTCAAAATTTATATATATATATATAGAAACTGCAAACGAAAATATTCCAAGCGTCCAAGGAATGATATTTTACAAAAATGAAAAGTCAAATACTTGATGAAACGAAATGATTTAAATTTTGTATACATTTTTATTTTTCTCTTTTGAGAATGAAAAGTAACCACAAAGAGAGAAGGCGAATATCGGATCGTTGAAGGTTTTTGAGGTCGCCTCGAGAATGTGGATCGAGGTTCAGAAGGAATCTCTTGCGGTTGAAATACCAGTAGTGATTTTACTGAAAATTGAGAGCAATGAAAAGAAAATATAATAATAATAATAATAAAATATATTTTAAATGTAAAATAATTCATATAAAAATTAAAAACAATGGATAAATTTTTTTTTTTCGAAAAAAACTTTAAGATTGTGATGAATCTATAGTCAATTATAGTTTCTACGTTGCAATTGGACTAAAGTGAGCCCTTAATTCATGGATCAAAGCAAACCTTTGTTGGTTTACCTTCAAAGTTTTGGACCGCAAGGCGATATTAACGTACACGTAATATTGTCCAGACGGGGTAGGACATATTGAAACCGCATAAACTTTGCTCATAGCTTTCGGAAGCTTGTATAGTGCCAAATTTACTGAGTGAAGTTGAGTTATACATAACTCCGCTAATGAAAAAACCCCCAAAAAAAAAAATTTCCATATTCTTTTTTTCCAATAACGTAATCCAAAAAAACTAATTTAAAATTTATTAATTTAATTTTTAATTAATTAAAATAATTTTAATAAATGTTTCCTTTTTTTAATTTATTTTTTTAATAAATAAAATTTATTTATTGTAAATAAAATTTTATAGTAAAATAAAAATTTAATAAAATTTAAAAAAAGGGGAAAAGTTGCAAAAAAAAAAGGGATTAATTTTGTAGGATTAATTATATGGAAAGGGTTAAATACAAAGTGAAATGTTTATCTAAGCCACCTACAGCCGGTTCCTGATAAACTGTAGTTGTTCAGAGAGATCTGGTTGGACTTAAACGGGAGTTGAAATAGTGGGGGTCAAACTAATTCGATTCTAAACTCTGACCACACCAAGAGGACAACCAGCACCACCCGCCCCCCCCCCTTCACCCCAATTTCGGACACAGATGGCACTAACCGCGGTTAAATTCTCAAGCCGTAACTCTAATTACTCATAGACAACCCGACAACCCGGATCCATGCAACAGCTGCTGTTGAAACTTGTTAAAAGCACCGAAAGGGATGATTTGCCTTTGAACGATTTTGCGATTTGAATCACACATTCAATTTCAATCGTTTTGATTTAAAACATATTATATGAGGGTCCCCTCATACAAATAACAGAAATTTAATTCAACATTCTCTTTTTTTTATATATATATAAAGTGGAATTAAATTTATGTATTATTGAAAAAAAATATTTTAATTTTTTAATTATTTATTTTTTAAATTATATTTATTTTCGTATTTATTAATAAATTTACAGGATCAAATTTCTTTTGGTAAAAAGTGGTAAAAATCATTTTTAGTCAAATAGAAAGTTTAAATTTTTCTAATTTTATTGAATTCAGTAGTATAAGTCAGTTTAAGTTAGACAAATTATTAATTTTCTAAAGTTGTTTTCCATTAGTAGTAATAGTAAATTTTAGTCAGACAGAAAATATAATTTTTCTAATTTTATTAATTTCAGTAGTACAAGTCATTTTACGTGAGACAAATTGTTAATTTTCTAAACTTCTTTCCACTAGTGATAATAATAAATTTTAGTCAGGCAGAAAATTTAATTTTTAAATTATTATTATTTTCAGTAGTATAGGTCAGTTAATGCCAGACAAAATTCAATTTTAGTCCTAAAAATACTTAAATTGTACAATTATTTTAATACCAGTGGTAAATGTAATTTTTAGTCAGACAGATCGTTAAAATTTTTTTATTTTCACTATTTCAGTAATATAAGTCAGTTTAAGACCAGACAAATGGTCTTAAGATTCTATTTTCTTTTTTTACATTTTATTAATCTCAGTAGCAAAAGTCAGTTTAAGTCAGACGAACAGCCCTAATTTTCTATTTTTTAATTTTTAATATTTTAAGTAGTATAAGTCAATGTAAGTCAGACAAAATTAATTTCAGTAATAAAATAAGTTTAAATTGTTCTATTCTTTAATTATCAGTAATAGTTATATATTGTAGTCAAACAGAAACTTAATTATTTAATTTTTATTATTTTCAGTAGTATAAGTCAGTGTAAGTCAGACAAAATTAATTTTAGTCATAAAATAAGTTTAAATTGTTCTATTCTTTTAATTTTCAGTGGTAGCTGTCAATTTAAGTCAAACAAAATTAGTTTCAGTCAAAAAACATGTTTAAATTTTCTATTCTTTTAATTATCAGTGATAATTGTACATTTTAGTCAGACAGAAGGTTTTAATTTTTTTTATTTTCAGTAGTATAAGTTAGTTTACGTCAGACAAAATTAATTTTAGTCATAAAAAAGGTTCTACTTGTACTACTATTTTAATATCAGTGGTTGATGTCAATTTTAGTCAGACAGAATGTATTAATTTTTAATTTTTTTATTTTCAGTAGTGTAAGTCAATTTTGGTCAGACAAAACATTTAATTATTTTGTAATTTTTTTAATGTGAGTAGTAAAAGTCAATTATAGTCAGACTGGTCAAAAAATTTAATTACTGTGTAATTAATTGTAAATCACATCTAACGAATCAAACGTAACAAAAATGCTCGTCTTGAAAATTTTATATTAATTATTTGTGTCTTAATTGAAATATTTATTATTGTTTTATTTGACGTAAAAGCAATTTACTTGTATGAAAATAATCGAATATTTTGTCTGACTAAAATTAATTTTATCTATATATATACTTGAAATTATTTATAGCAATTTAATTACAGTAGTATAATCGAATAAGATATGTCTGACTATAACACTGATACGTACTACTTAATTTTTTAAATTTATTTTTATTATTACGAATAAATTCATACTACTTAAAATTGTTCACTTGTATAATTTAATTTACTTTTATATGCTCGTTATAAGAGTTTTAAAAGTTAAAATTTTTTTTTTTTAATTTTCAGTAAGATAAAATTTAACGTCGAAAAATGACTATGGACGGAATTAAGACTGAAACTAATAGAAATGGTGCTACTCAACAAGAGTGTGCCGGATGTGGAAAAGCAATAACCGAAAGGTAAATAGTAAATAATTATCACATTAATTAAAAAAATCAATTACTAAAAAATAAAATATTTTCAAATTGAAAGGAAAATCTTCTTAATTTTAGAGGAACATTACATGTAATGGAAAAAATTGTGTAAAAATAAAATTATTTCTTTCATATTGGTAATTTTTTTTTTCTATACAAATAAATAATTTTTTATTTTTCTTTTTTTAGTGAATATATGTAAATTTTTTTTCACAGGTATTTATTAAAAGCGCTAGACATGCTCTGGCACGAAGACTGTTTAAAATGTGGTTGCTGCGATTGCAGACTTGGCGAAGTAGGTTCTACTCTTTATACAAAAGCAAATCTTTTACTATGCAAGCGGGACTATCTCAGGTAAATCAAAAAAAAAAAAAAAAAATCAATTTTTACTATTTAATTAAAAAATTATTGATTTATGATTATTATTTTAATTTTACAAATCCAATATTAGAATATTATTGTGGGAATTGGAAAATAATTTTTAAAATTTTTCCAATTTTTACTATATATAGTTAACAAAATGAAAATATTCTCAATTCAAAAATAAATGATTCTTTAGTATAAATATAGAAATAATTGCTTTGTATTAAATTTAATTCAAAATAAAACTATTCGGTTAGTGTGAATATTTATATTTAAAAAAATATTCTCATATTGAGAATAAATTTCATTTTTCACAATATTAAGTCAATCGAGAAAAAAAATTTTTTTTTTTTTTATTCCTCTTATATTGAATACATTTACCGCGTTGTTCAAACAATCGACAGGGCAAATAAACCGTGTTGAGATTACGAGGTCCCGAGGGAATACGCAGGTGCCATTGTGAACTCGGGAGCCATCGAAACTATGGGCTTTATTAATGGCCCAATATTTGAGGACAATATTACTGTTACCCGAATGTTTATTGGTTCCTGCCACAAGGCATAAGTGTCTACTTCAATTTCACCTCAAGAATCATTGATTCATATATTATATAGAAAATTCGTAGATATATAGTTATTCCAAGAAATATATGTGTGTCAAATATAAATATTATTAACTCAATCAATAATAAAGGCTCTTCATTTTTTTTTTACAGACTTTTTGGAAATACCGGACATTGTGCTGCTTGCAGTAAAGTTATTCCTGCCTTTGAAATGGTTATGAGGGCTAGAACTAATGTTTATCATCTCGAGTGCTTCGCGTGTCAACAATGTAATCACAGGTGAGTTATTTATAACGAAAAAGAAATATATATTCTTAAATTGAGAGGATTTTATACTTTAATATATTTTCATTAGCCTTAGATTTTTTTTTATAATGAATTAAATTCTAATTAAAACTATTCAAAAAAGGTACTATACTCTTATATTGAGAGGAAACTCATGCTTCTATAAATATGGTAATTTCATGCAAAAATGTTTTTTTTTTTTTAATTAATTCAAAAAAAAAATTAATAAACAAAATTGAAATATTTCATTACTCGTTCGCGAAGACTTTTAAATATTTTCCCCAAAGTATTACATTAATAATTTAATTTAAAAATCAGTAATTAAATTACAAAATTATTTTCTATCGAAGGGATTTTTCAATACAAAAAAAAAGAACGAATTAATTAAAAAGAAAAAATAGAAACAAATTTTTTTAATAATATTTCGAAAATGATTAAATTTCTTTACAATTTGTGAATAAATATTGTAAATTTATTGAATAATGAAAATTTGTAGATTAAAATAATTTTTTTTTTTTTTTTTGATTATATGCAAGAGTAAATTTTGAAATATGAAACTTTTAGTCTAATAATCTTATTATTAGTATTAAGCCAAGTCCGTAATTAAACATTCACACCCGTCGGCAGAGTTGCCTATTCCAGTATTCCTCGTAGCAACTCATCCGTATAACAATTTAATTCAAGCCTCCCCTACACCACCACCACCACCCCCCCCCCCCCTCTTCCCCAACCCACGGGCGCACGTCTAACTTTGCAACACTTCGCTTACTTATTCACAACAACCGAGTTAAGCTGAAACTCGTTCGAACCAAGACTTTACTCCAAAATTCCTCGAACCACCGAATCTGTTGGCTCGAGATAATCATGGCTTTTAGAATCCTAAGGTCTTAAGTCATTTAAACGTAATAGCAAATATTTTTTTTTTTTATTTTTTTTTACAGTAAAATATTTTAATTTTTACAATAGAAATTGAAAATTAAAATTTTTTTTTTAAGCTTTGAAGATGTGAGAAAAAATATTCTCAAATAGAGAGGATTTTTTAATACTAGCATTTTCGAAGGAATTTAATAGGAAAGAAAAGAAAAATCATTGCCTCTTATATTGAGAATAATTTTTTTTTTCGTTTAAAGGTTAATTTTTTTTAAATCTGTTGATGTCAAAAATGATAATTGACAAGTGAAGGCGCACACACACACACACAAGACATCTGTGGCGAAAAAATATATATATATATATATACATAGGTAGAGGAAAAGTTTTCAAACTATGCGAACGACGTGCGCGTTGCCTCGAGGGGAATGAAAGTAACGTCAGATGCAAATCATCTCTGCTAATTTCTCGGAAAACTCGTGAATTCGAGGATTGTCTGACGAAACGCAAGTGGAAAGCTTCCTGTGTGTGCACGCGATTATGCGAATTCCCCCCCGGTGTGACGTTTGTTGGATTATACTCTCACTCTGGATTTCCATACTTCCGTTTAGATTTTAAGATCCATACAAATTTCACACGTTTATATTTATAAATTCGTATTTTTTTTGTTTTTTTTTTTTTTGAATATTTATTCATATTAAAAATTATTAAATAAATCTAGAAATTAAATTTTTTTCGAAAAAAAAGCGATTATCTATTATTAATGAACAAATGATAAACAAAAAATTAATTTCATCCTGATTAAAATCGATAAAAACCAGGGCCCGACCAGGGCCTGGTTTGGCCCCAGTTAGGTTCCCTGTTTCAACCAGGTCAAGGCCAAGTTAGCGAATTTCTTCACGGGAAATAACAGTAAAACGAATAAACAACAAATAATTAAGAAATAATAAATAAATTAATAAATTACATTACCGATGTAGAAATTGTGAAAAGGCCCTGGAAGGGCCCAGGTCGGGAAGATTCAAATTCGCATGAAACAGGGAACCCGATCGGGACAATAGAAAATGACCTATTTTAGTCCAATTAAAATCGATTAAAGCCGGGGCCCGACCAGGGCCTGGTTTGAACCCAGTTAGGTTCTCTGTTTCAACCAGGTCAAGGCCAAGTTAGCGAATTTCTTCACGGGTAATAATAATAAAACTAATAAACAGCAAATAATTAAGAAATAATAAATTAATTAATAAATTACAATACCCATGTAGAAATTGTGAAAGGGCCCTGGCAGGGCCCAGGTCGGGAAGCTTCAAAATCGCATAAAACAGGGAACCCGAACGGGACAACAGAAAATGACCTATTTTAGTCCAATTAAAATCAATCAAACCGGGGCCCGACCAGGGCCTGGTTTGGACCCAGTTAGGTTCCCTCTTTCAACCAGGTCAGAGCCAGGTTGGCGAATTTCTGCACGGGTAGTAATAAAAAAAAGTAAAATATCAAAAAAAAAATACTCAAAACTTTTTTATAAAGTAAAAATACTTAACTTATTTTAAAGACAATAAAAAAAAAAAACAATCGAAAAAAATTCTAATTACAATTTTTTTTTTTTGTAAAATAATTGTCATCGGGGAACAAGAAAGTAAGCAAAGAAATTCCTTGGAAAATTTACGAGCTTTTGCCTCATATACAACAAAAAAGAAACTATATGATTAAACAACTCTCAGGTGTTTTATGCTTGGCTCTTTGAAGATTGCGTGACTCAACTGCCACATCCGTTTCCGCCTTTCGGTCAACCACTTGAACCCCTTAAACCAATGTGCGGAGAGTGGTTGTTGGTTGGTGGCCTTATAGGTTTCAACCCATTTCCTTCGACATATATACTCCACGTTTTAATTCCCCGTAATTTTACTCTCGTCACTCTAACCACTTCCTAAATTTAACAACTTGTTAAAAAAAAAAAAAAAATCAACATACATTGAGAGTATATAATGGACAAAGAAAAATAAAACTCTTTACTGAAACATTATTATTATTTATTATTATTATTATTATTATTATTATTATCATTATTATCATTATTATCATTATTATCATTATTATCATTATTATCATTATTATCATTATTATCATTATTATCATTATTATCATTATTATCATTATTATCATTATTATCATTATTATCATTATTATCATTATTATCATTATAACTATTAATATTATTATAAGTGTATGTAAGGTCAATCGACTTGGGGATTAAATTTGATAAAGGTCATTGAAATGCCACAGACATTTGACATTAGCTTACACGAAATATCATACAATCAAAACGTTCAGTCAATGTGTTATTTTTTTTTTTTTTATTCATTCATAAAAAATTTTAAAAAGAAAATTTAATTTTTTTTTTGTTGGATAAATGAAAATATAACTAATTAAAAAATATATATAAAAAAAGAAGTAAAAGATAATTGTAAAAAAAAATTATATCTACTTACTAATTAAATCCGATAAAAAAATGTTTAATATAAATTTTTAAAAAAATTAATAATTAATAATTAATGAAATTTACATTATTTAATCAAATTTAATTTTTTTAATTGAGAGGCTGTAATTAATTTTGCAAGAAGAAATAATTAAATAATTTAAATTTTTATTATCTTTAAAAATTTAATTAAAAAAAATTAGAAAAAAACTAAAAATGAAAAATTTAAATTGATAGACATGAAAAAAGCTCTCACTGATAAAAAAAAACCGTGTGTGTGTATTTTAACTATTTAGACTTTGTGCTTTGTTTTAAACTTTTGTTAACTTTTTAAATTTGTTCAATAAAAAAGTAAAAATTCTCTTTTTTCTTTAAATTATTAAAATAAATTTTATCAAATAAGACTCTTTGTTGTACAATAATTATCGTTTTTTAAGCCTCCTGGGCAAAATTAATTTTCACTCTGATTTTTAATTCTAAAGTTAACTCGTTTTATCAAGTGACGATGGAAAATGAGTTTGGGAGGGAAACTAAGCTTTCTTGACTTATGATCCAAGGCATGAAGTATCGAAACTCAGACCTTTGTCTATGAAAAGCTCACCATTATATTGTCAGGATATATATATACACACACCCCAAACCCCCTTTTCATAAGCAACGCGAGTCGCAGAATTAAGCCTCTTCACGGCATTGTATTGTTTGTACTTGTAAAGCATACCATTGTCAAGTTACGCCACTCTTTAGCTGTATAATAATAATAATAATAATTTTTAAAAATCCAAATGTTTTTTTTAAATTTAATAAAAGGGACCATAAAGGCAAAAAATTTTAGTTTATGTTTAGTGATAGTTTTCGTTTGATTAAACACATAAATTTTTAATTATGTAAATTCAAAATTAGTTTTTTACTGAATATTTCGGATCTAATGAATACATAAACATCAGTTATTTTTTATTAAAATGTATTTTCAATACAAAAATCACAAACATAACCTAAACGTTCAGCTCTAAGCGCCATCTATTGTAGAAATGTGGTACTAAAAGTTGTCCTTGACTCAATCACTTACTGATCGATTAATTCAAAATAAAAAATTTTGCAAATTTAATTGATTTAAAAATAATTTTGTAATATTTTTCGGGGAGGAATTTAAAACAAAGTTTTATTTTCAAAATTCTTTAAATATATATATATATATATATATATATATATATATATATACATTTATAATTTTATTGAAGAATAGAATTTCTCTTAGGAAAGCAAAGTAAAGCAAAGCACAATGTAAAGTCAACTTCGCACTAGGTATTCACACTCAACGGACCCTGATACCGGGGTGGTCGGCCATTTTGTTTCCGGTGTCCCGGGGCTACTTCCGGTCACCGTCACGCAGTCCCAAGCCAACCGAGAGTGCCCCCGAGCGGCGGACTCTTGAGATCTCCTTTCACGATTATATTCAAATTAAATGCAGAGTCTAACCGGTAATATACTGCCACCAATTTAGCAACAACCCCCCGGGGGGTGGTTTACCTTACATCGCACAAGTGTGTGCGCGAAACTGTTCCGGGGAATTGTTTTGTTTGTATATATAACAAATATACACCAAAAAAAATTAAATTAAATTAAATCTCATTCGAAAATTAATTTTACACTT